AGCTAGTCGTTCGATAAAACGTAAAACATGGAGCAAAACGCGGGTCAAATCTCAGCGCTGAAAAGAAAACGCGAGTTTATAAAGGCGGCATGTGCGCGCATTCGAACGTACGCAGAATCGGTGACGCTATTAACGCCCGAAACAATCGCGAATTTAGAAGTAAGAAGGGAAAGATTGTCGAGTTATTGGTCGGATTACAATAATTTGCAAGCCGAAATAGTGTCTCTCTGCGAAGACGAGGGAGACGATCGCGTGTCGTTTGAGGAAGCGTTTTACGAGCTGACCGCCGAATTACGCTGCGCGATCACTAATTACAACCGCACGATAGCCGGGGGTCCAGCCATGATATCCACGTCGATCGCGCCTCCGGCCGGAGTGAGCAGCTCCGCAAGTAACGTACGGTTGCCGAAGTTAGATTTGCCGAACTTTACGGGCAAATACGAGGAATGGTTTCCATTCTACGAGATGTTCAACTCGGTCATAAACGACAATCACGCGATAAGTAACCTTCAGAAGTTTCAATATCTGAGGGCATCGGTGACGGGCGAGGCGGCCAACGTGATTCGATCGTTAGAGTTATCTGAGCAAAATTATTTGGTGGCCTGGAATGCCTTAAAACATCGTTACGATAATAAACGCGCTATCGTGCACACGCATTTGCGTGCTCTATTTGAATTGCCGAGCATCGCGAAAGAAAACGCCTTCGAACTGCGTCGGGTGGCGGACAGTGTCGTCAAGCATGTACAGGCCTTGAGCGCGCTACAGTGCCCCACCGAGCATTGGGATGAGATGTTAATTTATCTAATCTCGTCTAAATTCGATCCGATCACTACGAAAGAATGGCACGCATCGCTGAGCGGGACGGAATTACCCACATACAGGCAGTTCGTGGATTTCTTAGAACGAAGGTGCCAATTATTAGAATCAATAAATAAGGGCGCGGTGGCGCAGACCAACGGAAGACGTTTAGCGGCTCATGCCGCTACCACCGCTCCCGCGTGCAGCTATTGCCACGGGGAGCATCCCATTTATTATTGCCGTAAATTTATTAAGTTGTCCGTCCCACAGCGGCTCGCTGAAATTCGAAAACGGAAATTATGTGTGAACTGTCTACGCGGAACGAATCACGCGGCTCGGAATTGTAATTCGGGTTCGTGTAAGAGATGCGGCGATAAACACAATTCCCTGCTTCATTTTCCTTCGAAATCTAACGATAATTCCACGAAAACAAGAGCAGGGAACGCGTCGGCTCGAGACGACGCCGAGGAGACGACGGTTATGACTCATTCGTCGACTTCTCATAATACCGGTGTATTGCTTTCAACGGCGGTTGTGTACATTGTCGATGCCAGCGGAACAAAGCATCCGTGCCGCGTTCTATTAGATAGCGGCTCACAGGCTAACTTTATAGCGCGATCTTATGCCGAAAGGTTGCAATTGAGGGCAAATCCGAGTAACATAAAAATAATAGGAATTAACGGTACAACCAGCAGCGCGAGCGAGGTCGTTGTAATAAAGTTACATTCACGATTGAACGAATTCGCCGCGACAATAGAATGCATAATAACGGATCGCATAACCGAGCGTCTCCCGGTGTCGTCAATTGACAGAACGGAAATACGGATACCGCCGACCATCAAATTAGCCGATCCAGATTTTCACCGAAGCTCGGACATAGACGTGTTGGTGGGTGCCGAATTGTTTTGGCAGTTGATTTGCGTGGGGCAATTAAGAGCCTCCCACGCGCACCCTACGTTACAGAAAACGCACTTTGGCTGGGTTCTCGCCGGTCGTTTCGGCGGCGAGACGCGTAAGACGCGCGCCCGCGAGATAGGAGCGTTCTGCGCGTCGGTAACCGAGTCAGAATTGCAAAATCAGTTAGCGAGGTTTTGGCAATTGGAGGAGAGCTGCCGGCCTCGCGATTCGTATTCGAGCGTGGAACGTTTTTGCGAGAAACATTTCCGCGACAACACGACCAGAGATGATCAAGGTCGGGTGATAGTTACGCTACCAATAAAGGAGGATAAAATAAGAAAGCTGGGCGATACGCGCGACGTGGCCCTGCGACGATTTTACGCTCTAGAAAAACGACTAGATCGCGATCCGATTTTGAAGTCGCAATATAGCAATTTTATCCACGAATACTTGTCGCTCGGGCACATGAAATGGATAGATAGCGTGAATGACGATGACGGAGATTTGCCGACGTGTTACCTACCCCATCACTGTGTGCTAAAACCTTCAAACGAAACCACTAAGTTGAGGGTGGTCTTCGATGCTTCGTGCGAGAGTTCAACCGGAGTATCGCTGAACGACGCGCTTATGGTCGGCTCGACGGCACAGCAGGACTTATTCTCTATCATTTCGCGATTTCGTACGCTCGCGTTCGTTTTTTCGGCGGACATTGTCAAAATGTATCGCCAGATACTAATCAATCCGAAACAAACTAAATTGCAGCGTATATTCTGGCGAGACCACGCCGGCCTGATCTTACGAATAGGCGAACTATTAACAGTAACATACGGAACGGCAGCCGCCGCGCATCTAGCAATCGAAACCCTTGAATACTTAGCGGAGACCTACGCGAAACAGTTTCCCGTAGGGGCGGAGCATATAATGCGCGATTTTTACGTTGACGACATGCTATCGGGTGCCGATACGCTCGAGGGAGCACTAAAAATAAAGAGCGAGGTCGTTGAAATTTTGAGTCGCGGCGCGTTTCAGTTAAGCAAATGGTCCTCGAATCATGTGGCTCTGTTAGGTGAAGATCAAAACAAACATAACGCCGATGTTCAAATCGACAGGGAATCGACGTCGCGCGTCCTCGGAATTGTTTGGAATCCGTCTACGGACACATTCCGTTTCGCAATTGAGAAGCCGGCAAACACGAATAAGATAACGAAACGTATAATATTATCGGAAATCGCGAGGCTGTTCGATCCGTTAGGCTTACTCGGCCCGGTCATCATATTACCGAAAATATTGCTCCAAGAGATTTGGCAATTGAAGCTGCAATGGGACGAATCCATCCCGCTGGATTTGCATACAAGGTGGTCCGCGTTTAAAGAGCAATTGACCGCGCTGAATGAATTGAGAATACCGCGATTCATCAAGGAACGCGGCGAGCATTCGCGATTTCAGATACACGGATTTTGCGACGCCAGCCAACGAGCGTATGGCGCGTGCTTATATATTCGGAGGCAAATCGGGGAGAATGAATTTCGCGTCGACCTGTGGTGTTCGAGGACTAGAGTCGCGCCTCTGAAAACGATTTCCATTCCTCGGCTGGAGCTTTGCGCGGCGCTATTGCTAGCGCAATTATGGGACAAGGCGCGATCCTCTATCGAAGTGGGAGAGGCGCAGTCCTTTTTGTGGTCGGATGCCACAATAGCATTGCGGTGGATTTCGTCGTGTTCGAGGAAATGGTCGGTATTTGTTGCAAATCGCGTCGGCGAAATACAACGGCTAACACGCGCTTCGGACTGGCGGCACGTGCCGTCAGCGCAGAATCCCGCCGATTTGTTGTCTCGAGGTATCTACCCGCATGAGATTCGGAGTTCGGCATTGTGGTGGCACGGCCCCGAGTTTTTGAGGGAGAGCGAGGCCGCGTGGCCAAGGGATAATCCATACATCTCCGAATCTGAGATGCCCGAGATGCGAAGGACCGTTGCCGTCGCTGTTGCGGCAACGGCGAATCCGTTCGTGGAGCTGGCGCACAGATGCTCCAGCTTAAACAAATTGTGCAGGATCATGGCCTATTGCCTGCGATTTCTCAAACCGCATCTTCACCCGAACAGAGAAGCAGGCACTCGTGTCTCACACGAAGAAATCTGCACCGCGCTCGACTGCTTGTGCAAGAACGTCCAGAGAGACGCGTTTTCCAGCGAGATCCACCAATTAGAAGGGGGGGTCTCGCTTACTTCCTCCAGTTCTTTGACTTTGTTAGCGCCATTTTTGGACGAGCGGGGATTGATCCGCGTCGGGGGGAGACTGGGAAATTCCGAATTGTCGTACGGTGCCCGCCACCCGATCCTACTTCCAAAAAATCATCGGCTTACTTATCTTATAATAGAACGAGAGCACAGGCGTAACCTTCACGCGGGATTGCAGGGCACCATAGCCGCGGTGCGACAGAGCTTCTGGCCGCTTTCCGTGCGCTCCGTAACGCGAATAGTTATTTGTGTAACAAGTGCGGGAAGTTGAGAATTGGACATAAGTGCGGAGTGACGCACGAGCCGAAGGCGAGTGCGTCCACTCCGCACGCGTGTCCAATTCTCAACCCGCACGTGTTACACACACTATTTTATATCACAAGTGCGTCTAAAGTTTAAAAAAGGACTTGCAGGGGCGAGGGGGGGGCGAAGCCCCCCTGAGCTCTTAAAGAAGGTCTTGCGGGGAGCTATTTCTCCCAACGAGGGGGGGCGAAGCCCCCCGAGTTGGGAGGGGGGTTCGGGGGGGCGAAGCCCCCCCGAGTCGAAAAGTTGGGCGCAGGCGGGGAGGAGGGCGCGGGGGGGAGGGGCGGAGCCCCTCTCCCCGCCTATGATAAAAGCAACGTTTATTACAGGAGCAAACATGTAATAAGAATGTAATAAGATGTAATAAGAAAGAATGTAATAAGATGTAATAAGAAAGGTGAAACAACATTACGTATGCACAGTAGTCCAATGTCTTAACCAATAAGAATTGAATCAAAATGCTCGTAGGCTCGAAGCGTCTCCGTTTCACAGTTGCTTTTGCAGATTAGGTTTTCGCCGGCTCGTAGCTCGAGGGAACGGTGCCGGCACGTGCCGGGCTTCCCGACGATTCGCGTTTCGTTCCCGGAAAACGCGATCTCGACGACGGACGGTTTATCGATCGTCCTGGCGTGCGAATCCGCGCGACACACGTGCACACACATACACATCCGCTACGCGACTCCTCGACGATTTCGGGTACACGAGAAATTTTACATTGAGTCGGTCTCGGTTTCTGGCGTTTCTGAGGTTATGTCTGAGTATCGCTGTGGTAATTCGCGTAGACATCTTGCAGCGCACGGAAACACGCGTAGTGTTTCGCGTAGTGCGCCGCGAGATGTCGTTAAGAACATGTCAGAAATCAGGGACACTAGTCAGAAATAAGAGGACTCTAGTGGGAAAGACACAGAATGAGTGGGGAAAATAAGGAGAGTGTTGGCAATGAGTCGTGCGGGAATGAAATTTCTCACTATATTCCCGCACTAGTGCGGGAATATAGTGAGAAATTTCTCATGCATGGAATTGGCTACTTCGCACACAGATGGCGCGCACGGAATGGGCCACTTTCGATGCACGTGTGATATAAAGATTATTCGACAATGCGTCGCCTGTTTCCGATGTCGTCCCGTTACATCTGAAGCAAAAATGGGAGTGCTGCCCCCGCCTCGTGTAACACCGTTTCGGCCATTCTCAAATTGCGGAGTTGATTACGCGGGCCCGCTTATCGTGCGAGAAGGCAAGCATCGAAATGCTCGTAATAGCAAGGCATACGTTTGCGTCTTTGTGTGCCTCGCCACAAAGGCAGTACACTTAGAAGTAGTCAGCGATTTAACGACCGAAGCATTTCTGGCTGCCTTCAAGCGCTTTATTTCGCGTCGAGGAAGCCCGGCTTCCATGCATTCCGACAACGGTACTAATTTCAAGGGCGCCTCCCGCCAACTGTCGGAATTGTATGAATTCTATAGGTCAGATAAAAATCAAGACAAAATAAAACAATTTTGCTGCGATCTAAGGATATCTTGGCAATTCATACCGCCCGGAGCCCCGCACTTCGGCGGGTTATGGGAGGCCGCGGTAAAGTCCGCGAAATATCATTTGCAGCGTATCGCGGGCGACTCGCATCTCACTTTCGAGGAATTGCAAACGACACTGTGCGAAATAGAGGCAATACTCAATTCGCGTCCGTTAACACCGCTGAGCTCTGATCCGAACGACTTATCGTATATTACGCCGGGACATTTTTTAATTGGCGATGTCTTGAACGGTTTTCCTTGCCGAGATTTGACCGACATCAACGAAAACAGATTGGTGCGCTGGCAAAGAATCGAACAGCTCCGCCAGCACTTTTGGAGTCGCTGGAGCCGCGAATACTTGAATCAGTTACAGCAGCGGCATAAATGGGCTACCAGCAAGGGCGAGCAACTGAAGGTCGGGCAGATGGTGCTAATCATACAACCTGGTGTGCCGCCTCTGCAATGGATTTTGGGCCGCGTCACTGAGACGCATCCTGGTTCCGACGGCATCGCTCGATCGGCAACGGTGGCCACAACCAAGGGATCAATTGTCCGGCCGCTGGCCAGACTAGCGATCTTGCCGCTAGAAAATTCGAGTCAATAAATTCCGCACTCGCGATTGAAATAAAGAATTGAGAAAATTTATCTATATCCCTGACTAGGCTGAGAGCCGCTAATGTTCTTTGACAAGTAAACGTTTGACTAAATTTGTACCTGACAAATTTCATTATTTATTTGTACTAATTGAATTATTGCCTGTGCACGTTCATTCAATTTATTATGTTTAATCTATTATCATTTCATTTGTATTATATTTATTCCTGTAGTCATGCTACTGATAGAATCATATTATTTGACCATGTATTATATTCGTACTCAGATGTATTATTCGTAATTTAAGATTGTAAGACAAGGTCTTCCAAGGCGGGCGGTGTTTCGTATTCCACATCCTTTACATCGACGTCGAGGCATATTATTTCGTATCTCATATTATTTGTATTTATTTCGTGTCAACCGTTATACCTTAGGATTGTGTCAAGTCATAACATCGCGTCAACGATCATTTTGAAGATAATCGGGGAGCTCCGACAATTCCCGGAACCTTCCGATAATCTTGGCTATATATACCTCCTCGAACGGGAGGATCGGCACTCTCTCAATTCTGTCTTCGCCTCTAAATACTGGTCTCCAGCACAATACGAAGCACCGTTTTTCCGAATCAGTAACGAGATCAATATACGTAATTAAACGAGAGTCGAGAAGTAAGAGAAGTCGCAATCATTTAAAACCCAATCCAAGCTGCCTGCTTTCCACGCGAGCGTGACCGCATCATCAATAATTAGAGGCACGTGCTTCGCCTTGCGTCGACCGAGGAGCTGCCCGGGACTATACGCGAGGAACTTAACACACTGTCTACACTGCACTGCACTGCGATACTAACGCCGCTAGCCGCCAGTGTCAAAAAAGTGAAAGTGACGTTTCTCTGATAATCATAATAATATTGAGATGAGAGACGGTCGACGTAGAAGTAGAAGAAGTATTCGTATCTTAAAAATAAATTTTCACATTTGGACTTTGCGTCGCAATATCTCCGCTCGTAGGGCACGTAGCGGAATATTATAAGAGAAACCCCCCCTAATTGGACCCCAAGCTATCGATCAAGCCTACTTAGAACTTGATCCGTTCACTCGTTATCGAGATCTCAACATCTCGAGTACTCGCAACCCGTCGCGTCGCGTAAAAGAGTCACGGTCGGTCTCGCTCCGCGTGTACTTGGCGCGAGACACTACCGTGTCTCTTGATCAGGAAATTCTTCTGTGCTATATGAAGAGAGATTACGTTATGAAAACTTCACTTGCTGATATCAATCCTTGTAAGAAAGATGAATCCATCCCATCTTCACAAATATATCTTGGTGTTAAAGTATTTCAAGCCATGAACGATAAAAATAATGTTTTTCAACAAAACGAGAAAAAGAATTTTTTTAGGCGTTGCAGAGAATTTCTAAAGGTATTCTTTATATATCCTTTTATATAATATTTTTTTTATTTAACTTCAGCATATTTGCCATATTTGCCAATAAATCCATGAAGTGGTCTCTCCAAACCTCCTTACTTATATCTGCCTCCTTTTAAATCTTCTTCTTCCTCTTCTTATTTATAAATCTCCAAACCTCTGTAGCATTTTTTAAACTCTTCAGTTCCACTTCTTCCTTTTCTCTGTTTCCTTTCTGCCAACTCCTTCGGACCAACTTTCTTCTTTCCTCCAGATATTTCTATCTTCCTGCCTTACCCCTCCTCCACCTCCCTTTTCTTTCTTGAGCATTGCCTGTCTCACCAATCCTTGTGTCCTAACTCATACCTCTTCGTAACCAGCTTCTTTCTTATCATTGCCTCCTGGATTATACCTTTGAGTTTATCCCATTTTTCCTCTATTGTACTCTGTCTATCCTCCCTCCATATAATGCTTTCCGTGTTTGCTTTATAACTTCTAATTGCATCTCCATCTCAGCAGATTTTCCATTTCGTAACTTTTCTTCCTTCCACCTCTTCATTCTCCTTTTCTTCTTTTCTTCTTCTTTCATCTATCTTCACTGTCAGGGGCATGTGGTCCGAATCCACCCTGTCCCCTACATTAAATTCTTTCACTTTTACTACGTTTACTCGAGCGCCACTTCAGCAGCAACCTACGACAATTCACTCTTTACGCGGAGTAAATTATCGTAAATTACTACAAAATCCCGTTTACGCGGAGGAATTATTGTAAGTTACCACAGAACCAACGCTCGCGCAAACATAGTATTTGTCTAACGCACCTTCACTACAAAATACAATATATCCTTTTATATATTATTTTATATATGAACAAATGTTGTATATTTATTTCCATCTCTATTATCGATTTTATTGTATTTTATGTTTGTAATGCTTTTTATTAAGTATTAAATTCTGCGTGTTTATTTTTATTATTAGTATGTAGCTTTAAGTTTGCGACAGAGCGTCGATGAAAGAGCGCCATAATGTGTTCCATGCGGGCGCGATTGCATGTGTGTAGCATATCTATTGTTTTTCGCTCGGTGCTTCTTCCCGCGCGTACTTCCCGCGGTTTCTTCCGCCATCTCTCACACGTACGGTCACGCTTTTCATATACACCGTTATAAGTCGCAGTTCTATTGCGATTATTGTTACTTTTGCTATAATAAAAGTGATCAATACGGTCAACAGTCCTCTAGTTATTCCTTCGCTCTGTACAAGTGCATACTCCTGAGATCCAGGAAAGATAATCTCAACAGGTTATGGGCCCAGGCCACGCGGTATAAGCGAAGAGAAAAAGTACGCGTCGTGAAATCGTTTTATCGTACTACAAGGACAGCGAAAATGAGCGCATCCATCGATCTCAAGAATGTGGCCAAATTCGATGGCACGAATTTCCAAGCATGGAAATTCCAGATGAGGGCGATCCTCATAGCGAACGACATTCTAACCATCGTGGATGGATCTGAGAAGAAGCCGGAAGAACAAGCACAAAAGAAAGCATGGATTCAGCGGGACGCCAGGGCCATGTTTATTCTTTCCTCTTCAATGGAAACCTCGCAGCTAGATTATCTCATCACATGTGAATCATCGGCAGAAATGTGGCAAAAATTACGTTCTATTCATGAACAGCAGAGTGAGTCTAATAAATTAATTCTAATGACTAAATTCCATGAATACAGAATGGCCACAAGCGACTCGATTACGCAGCACATTGCGAAGGTCGAAAACATGGCACGGCAATTAAAAGACCTAGGAGAAACGGTTTCCGATGTCACCATAATGGCGAAGATTCTTGGCAGCCTGCCGTCAAAATTTAACGCATTAGTTACAGCGTGGGACAGCGTGGACGCGGACAAACAAACATTGCAAGGTTTAACGTCGCGACTCATTAAAGAAGAGAATAGGATGACTGCAATTGATGAATCAACCAGTGCACTAGCAGTGGCGAACAAGAGTAAGTCACAAACCGCATCGAACGTCTCACACAAGCCTACTCAACATAATCGACAGTCAGTGGAGTGTTTCTACTGCCACAAAAAAGGACACATGGCAAAGAACTGTCGAAAGAAGGAGAGAGATATGAAGCAGAAGCAGACGCAGAAATCGGAAAAGGACGAAACGTCGGCAAACGTAAGTGCCTTTATTGTAATGGGAGATTTTGCAAACATAACTAACCTAAACGAGAACTTTGCATGGTATTCGGATAGCGGGGCATCTAGACACATGACCTTCCAAAGAGAATTTTTTCAAAATTTTGTTGAAAGCGGCAACGAGTATGTATCTCTTGGAGACGGAGCTCCATGTGAAATCAAAGGTCATGGAACAATAAATATTAAACTGAATATCAATGGAACCTGGTCTGATGGAAAGCTTGAAGATGTGCTATATGTACCCTCACTCAATAAAAATCTATTTTCAGTGGGAGCATGTCTGAAAAAAGGTTACTGTCGTCTTCGAACATGATGCTGTTAGAATAAGCTCAAATGGCGTTCTCAAGGCTGCTGGAATAAGAAGAGATAATAATCTATTCCAGATGTTGTTTCGTGCTGTCTTAAGAAATGAAAATTGTGTAGCTACCGTCCCTGATCTACAGATATGGCACGAGCGTCTCGGACACGTGAGCTGCAAAACCCTGCGTGAGATGAACAAGCAAGGATTGTTGCAACTAGGTGACATGCCTGAGAATGTTGATTTCTTTTGCGAAGCCTGCCATTATGGCAAACAACACAGACTTCCGTTCAAAAAATGCATTCCTCCGAGAAACATGCAACCTGGCGAACTCATCCATTCTGATGTGGGCGGACCGATGTCAACAGAGTCTATTGGAGGATCTAGATTTTATGTCAACTGGATAGACGACACTTCGGGTTACAGACATCTATACTTTATGAGACACAAGTCAGATGTCTTCGAAAAGTTCCAGGAGTTCCACGCCATGATACAAACCAAGTTTGGTCGATCGATAAAAATCCTAAGGATGGACAACGGCAAGGAATATATCAACAGTAACATGTTACGCTTTCTTGCAAAGAATGGAATTCAACTAGAGACCACTGCACCACACACGCCAGAGCAAAACGGAAGATCGGAGAGGGACAATAGGACCGTTGTTGAATCTGCAAGATCGATGCTGCACGCGAAGAAACTTCCCACTCGGTTATAGGGAGAAGCCATGAATACAGCCGCATACATCCTAAATCGGACACCGACATCTCGCACGAAGGGCACCACACCATATGAGATCTGGACAGGCAAGAAACCCGACCTATCACATGCAAAGATATTTGGCTCCGAAGTTTTTGCTCACATTCCGAAAGGACAAAGAAGCAAATGGGACAAGAAATCAAGAAAGCTAATATTTGTCGGATATCAACGTGAATCTTCAAACTACCGGTTATATAATCCGCATACTGGTAAGATAATTGTGTCAAGGGATGTCGATTTCAATGAATCTCGAGACGAGAAAACTTCATTGATGGATTGTGGAATATCACTCCCGCTAGATAACTCACAGCAAAGAAACCAAGCTGCAATTGAAAAACTGCCACTTGAAAAAGGATCGGAGGGAGGCAGCGACAACGAGGATCCGGAAGAAGAAATTCATCAAGTAAACGAAGCGCGAGGCCATCACCTAAGAGACAGAAATAAGATAAAAAGGCCTGAGAGATACGAAGCTAATCTGGTGGAGTTAAGCGAGCCGATGACCTATGAAGAAGCAGTCACAGGGGAGAATGCCGAACAATGGGGTAAAGCGATCAAGGAAGAGTTGCACGCACACGACAAGAACAAAACCTGGAGACTGACATCTCTACCAAGAGGTAAATCGACCATAGGATGCAAGTGGGTGTTCAAGATCAAGGGAACATCATCCGAGAACAACCTACGCTACAAGGCTAGATTATGTGCAAAAGGATTTACGCAGAAACCTGGCATCGATTACGAGGAAGTCTTCTCACCGGTGGTTCGATACGAATCAATACGAACTCTCCTGGCCATGGCAGCAGAACGAGACCTGGAAGTAGAGCAGTTCGACATTAAAACTGCGTTTCTGCACGGGGATCTCGACGAAGAGATCTATATGGACGCACCAGAAGGTATCAACGCAGACAAAGGTCAGGTATGCCGACTACAGAGATCATTGTATGGTCTTAAGCAAGCCTCGAGAAAGTGGAACGATAAATTTCGCGATTTCTTAAAATCTTATAACTTTGTACAAAGCAGCGCGGATCCATGTATATATATAGGGCGTTTTAAGAATGTTTTTGTTTTTCTAGCTCTATTCGTCGATGACGGGTTGCTACTTGCCGAGTCAAGGGAGGCGCTCGATGAGGTACTTGATGCACTTAGAGATTCTTTTGAAATCACTGAAGGAAGTCCGAGTTCATTTGTAGGTATGCAGATAGAGCGCGATCGAGAAAAAAGGGTAATTTTTATTCACCAACGTTGCTACATCGAGCGCATCCTTTCTCGATTTGGTATGATTGATGCAAGACCTGTGTGTACGCCAGCAGACCCGCATACTATTGCCTCATTAAACAGCGGAAACGATAGTGATAGCGAAGTAGATTTTCCATATCGTGAAGCGATAGGATCCTTAATATTCCTCGTACAGTTAACACGTCCAGATTTAACATACATTGTTAACTTCTTAAGCAGGTTTTTGTCATGTCTTTCAGACGAACATTGGCGTGCCGTAAAAAGGATTTTCCGCTATTTGCGCGGCACGATGGACCTTGGAATCAAATACAAGGGATGTGATAATGATGTAACGTTGATAGGGTATTCGGACGCAGACTACGCAGGAGACACTGTAACCAGGCGATCTACTACCGGTTACATTTTCATGATCTCAGGAGGAGCTGTGTCATGGACGTCACAGCGCCAGAACATGGTTTCCTTAAGTACAACGGAAGCCGAATACGTTGCGGCTAGTGCAGCTAGTAAAGAATTAGTATGGCTGCGACGATTACTGAATGATATCGATTGTCGATGCGTTAAACCAACGCTTTTGCTTGTGGATAGTCAAAGTGCAATAAGGTTAATAAAGAATCCAGAGTTCCATAAGAGAACCAAACACATCGACATTCGATACCACTTCATAAGAGAAAGATACATTAGCGGTGATCTGACTGTGAAGTATGTTAATACAAACGAACAATGTGCTGACTTCTTAACAAAAGTTTTGTGTAAAGAAAGATTGAAAAGATTGTTAAGTATGACTGGAGTGTGTTCAAGCGCAGAGTAATATGATTACCAAATACATTTAGTATATATACATATATCCTTTCTTAGGTTAGGTTAAAGATAAAAGAAAACACTTGAATAGTGGGAGTATTAAGTATTAAATTCTGCGTGTTTATTTTTATTATTAGTATGTAGCTTTAAGTTTGCGACAGAGCGTCGATGGAAGAGCGCCATAATGTGTTCCATGCGGGCGCGATTGCATGTGTGTAGCATATCTATTGTTTTTCGCTCGGTGCTTCTTCCCGCGCGTACTTCCCGCGGTTTCTTCCGCCATCTCTCACACGTACGGTCACGCTTTTCATATACACCGTTATAAGTCGCAGTTCTATTGCGATTATTGTTACTTTCGCTATAATAAAAGTGATCAATACGGTCAACAGTCCTCTAGTTATTCCTTCGCTCTGTACAAGTGCATACTCCTGAGATCCAGGAAAGATAATCTCAACACTTTTAGATATCAGCACAGCAAATATCAAATCGCTATGATATGCAAAATCCTGTTTTGGAAAAACTTAAGGCGTTGCATCCAAAAAATGCTTTATCTCTATCATATCGAGATACAACTCCAACACTTCTTAATTTCATGAAAGTAATTCCAAGAGTTTTGAGTTGCAATGACAGTAATGATATGATGCAAAAAATAGATGACCAATAACGTCGTCTTCCATTTTCCACTGCCTTTTTACCCAAGGATCTTGATAAAACACATGTGGACAAATTTTGGAATAAGATTTTGGATAATAAAAATGCTGCGGGAAAGTCTGAATTTCATGAATTGGCTACATTTGCTCTAGATATTCTATGTTTGCCACATTCAAATGCAGATTGTGAAAGAATTTTTAGTCGGGTAAATATTTAAATAAAATAGATAATTTTAATTATATAATTTCAATACATTTTATTATGTAATATAAATATACGTAATTATTTAATTTTTATTTTAATTTACAGGTCAATTTAATGAAAACAAAATTTAGAAATAAGTGGAAAATTGAAACAGTCAACGGATCATTATTAGCAAAAGAGTGCGTGAAGCGATCACAAGGAGAAAACTCTAGAGGCTCTGCAGCAGCCACATTTCAGCCAACAGATAAGATGTTGCAAAAAATGACAGCAAACGTTTTATATCCAAAGAAAAGGCAAGAAAACGAGCAAATAGAACAAAAGGACAAAACAGAAATTATTTTTTAAAAGTATTATTTTTTTAATAAATAATAATTACAAATATATGCATATATAATTATCGCTATAATAAATATATCGCAGAAATGTGAAAATTATTTGTTTAAAGTTCTTTTGTTTACAATATATAATTTGTATAACTTTTTATTAAAGAATTTATTTAAAAATCAATGGGATTGCGCCGATGTTCTGATATGTACTGCCTCCTATCCTATCCGTAGTATATGCAACGTATGCATAAATTATAGATTTTTAGTATGACTATTTGTACTACTATTTGTCATGTTGGTACGACATAAATACTACTATTTTTTTGGATTGGTACTACATTTCTTTTTCTGGGTCTGGCAACACTTGCGTGATTTGTCTAGATTCGTGATTACCGCGTAATAACGTTATCCTGTCGGACCATTTAGCTTTAAGTGTGAGCAGACGAGTAAACGTTTCTAAGCTATAGTAGCCCAGATCGACAAAATCTCTCAGAAATACGTAATTTGTATCTGTAGCCTATTCTGTAATTCGTTTCGTTAACCGAAAACTGTCGCTTGGCGCTAGCGACACGTAACGATACAGCTATTCTGGTAACTCTTGCTAACGACAGGATATCGATACATTGTATTCGTTAACGTTGGATAACGACAGTAAGTGTCGCTATCATAGACTTATATAGATAGCGCCACTATAACGAAAAGTCCCTATTCTGTAACTCGACAAGCGACAAATGTCGCTAAAGGTGTCGTAAGATAACAATGTTGTCGTTATACTATCGAGGTGTATGGGACCCCTCGGTAAACGTTATCGACGATACACCAATTCTTCGGAATAGTTGTTTTAATTATCATAGCGAGTAATACATATCGGAAATATATTATTTATTAAAATAAAATAAAAATTAAAGACATTAAAGTACAGAAAGTGACATAAGTTACAAAATACAAGGTAAAGTAAAATATTACAATTTAATAATATGATAAACCCGATGAAAACAGTACGTGGATCCACGTTATTGCTACGTGGATTCGATGTGGATTCGATGAAATTGCGTGGATTCGACGTGGATGTGACGTGACTGTTTTTATCGGGAAGTTACAAAAGTGTATATAATTTTATAATTATATGGTTATGTTTTGTATCTCTAATACAGTATAAGGAACAAAAGAAATATGTTTTTTGTTAAAAGTATTTATTAGTATATCTACTTATTTGGTAATTTTGAGCAATAAATTTTTATACAGTTTATGTATATATAAAAACAGTCTGTATAACCTGTATCCTTATTCTTTTTTCTTTGTTAGTAATATGACTAATATGGCTGAAGGATATGTAGCATGGGATTTAATGGTGTTAGAAGAAAGAGTGAGACAAGTAGAACGAAGAATTGAGAGAAGAGTGCTCCGCGACGCTCAAAATCCATTTGAACTGCCTTATATCGAATTTCTCTCATACTATAGAGTTAACAAAGAATTAATTATGGATATTGTCAACGTGCTAAGACCATATTTACAACCACAACGCATTAATGGATTATCTCCAGAAATACAAGTTTTAACAACAATTGGATTTTTTGCTCATGGTAGTTACCAAAGGCCAAGTGGAAATCAGTGTGAATTGGTTATAAGCCAACCGTCTGCAAGCCGTTGCATACGTAATGTGACAAAATTGATGAATGCGCATTTATTACGTCAGTGGATACGATTTCCAATGACACCATTAGACAGAGCTGCAACACGGAACAAATTTGCACGAACGTTTCCGGGTGCTATTGGTGCTATAGATTGCACGTACATAAATATTATTGCACCACGTATACACGAGGAGACATACGTAAATCATCACGGCAATCACTCATTAAATGTACAAGCTGTAAGTACAATTATAATAAATTATATTTTATTTATTTATTTTGTAAATTAAAAAATTTAATGACAGTTTACATATATACATATGAATTCTCCCTTATATTAACATTATTAGTAATAATAACTATAATGTAATACTGCATATAAAAGAGTGTGTATACGAGTGGAAGAAAAAAGAGAGACTTGTGATATATTTGTGAACATTTTTACAGATAGTCGATCCAGACTTGAAAATATTAAATATCAACGCACGATATCCAGGAGCGAGGAATGATGCTTTTATATGGAATTCTTCTCCAATTAAACATGTAATGGAACACTTCTATAATCATGGTGAAAGAAGAACGTATTTGATTGGTATGAATAAACTTAAAATGTTCAATTTGTATTATTGTGTTTTTATTTAATATTTATTTATTAAGTCGTTGTAATGTGTGTGTGTGTGTGTGTGTGTGTGTGTAGGAGATGCAGGATATCCCTTGGAACCTTGGCTCATGACACCGTTACCTTACTATCCACAGAGGAGTCGGCAGTACCATTATAATGAAAAATTATGTAAAGCACGATGTATTGTAGAAAGATTTTTCGGAGTCCTTAAGGGAACTTGGCGATGTTTATCATACCAACGCGTATTAATGTACGCTCCAGATATTGCTGGCCAAATAGTAAATGCATGTGCAATATTGCACAATATGCGTCTGTATTATCGGTTACCCTTGGACATGGAAGAAAATGTGTTCCTCGATAACGCACCTGCAGATCACATCCATGTAGAAGAAGAAGAAGAAGTAGAAATTTGCAGAGGGCCTAGAGCTGTAGCACAGCGGATACAAAAACAACTTATGCAAGAGTGGTTTCCCAATTATGTATGTGCATGGGATAATGAATAGGAATTTAGTAAAATTTCTTAAGGATGTATTGTAAAGAAAACTTTATAATTATGGAATAAGGACAAATCGTCAATTACATTATACACTAAGAATGGTCATAAATAAGGAATTTAAGTGAAAGAATAAAACGTATAACAGTAATTTTGAATCATGAGCATTAAAATTTATTTATTATTTAACAATGTATCAATAACATATATTAAATGTTAGGTAAACATTACTATCAAAAACATATATTAAAAGTTAGGCAACCCTTTTAACAAGATTTTCTAAAATTGTTATTTGCCGTCTTTCGTTTTCGGCGAGTTTTTGCATGTTATTGCTCAATTGCAATGTAGCTTCCGCTTGGAGTTTCATAGACTCTGCTAACATCTGTAAAAATATAATATTAAAAAAGAAAACAGAGATGTCTTGCATGTACTAATAAAACTACTTACTTTCATTGCTTCAGCATGTCTTTCGGCAATTGCAGCAAATGACTCTCGGGCTTCGTTTAAATTGTCCGACAAACGTGCCTTTCCTGTAAATATTAGTGAAATAATAATATTGTAGTTAGAATAAAAAGTTAAATTATATACAGAATATAATTAATATTCTAATACTTTTACTTACGTCTTTTAGAGGGATTAGATGCACCTGACCTTTGTATTCCATGTGTTGGTTGTGTTGGTATGTTGGTAGTGTTGGTTACATTTAATGTATCAATGTTTTCGATATTTTCCATATTTTCCATATCTCCCATATCTCCCATATTTTCCATATTTTCCATATTTGCTGTATCTTCTATATTTTCTAAAAACATAATTTTATATGTGATGTGTATATGTAAATAATTATATACAAACATTTTACACACACACACAACTATGTTGTATACAATATTAATTAATACTAACGCAGTCCTGTGATGTTGATTGTATTGAATAAGGATCGTCTAATAATATTGCACCATCATTTGTACCTGCAAAAAGAAATAAGTCAAATTTTCTTCTCTATTATTTGAAAAATATGTGAATAACAACTTATTCTTTTATGTATGTATTAATATATATATATATATATAAAGAAGGGAAAGAGATTATATTATTATATATTATACCAATATTATTTAGTTCTGCTATTATTATTGGGCCTGGTGTTGCACTTAAAGCACTTTCATTTCCAGTTCTTAGTTCTTCTATAGCATTCTAAAAGCATAAAATATGTTTGTGTACGTGCGTGTGTACATACATATGTATATATATATATATATATATATATATATATATATATATATATTCATGTTTTGTCTAAACATAAATATTTATATAATATGAACAACCATATCCATTATAATTGTAACGTTCTGTTTTCATATGACAAAGATTTAATTGACTATTTTTATAGACTTCTCTACAAAGCTTTTCTACCCAAAGGCAAATTAACATATTCAAAACCTTTGTCATATGACAAAAACAAAACAAGATAATATTAGCATTTCCCTAATCTAAAATCTCCTCGGTGCAGTGCATGTTTTTATCTTAGTTCACTTACAGTACACTCTTCAGGAAAACTGTCAGGTACATTGCACAATCCTTCGACATAGTCTTTTCCTATAATTCCTAGTACTCGTTTATCTAATTCAGATAATTTAATATTTATTGGATTATTTCCTGTCATTCTTCTTTCTTTTCTTAGTTTTTGTATTTTCTCAGAAACTTTTGATTTCAAATCTCTCCATGTCTATAAAAAAACTTTTGTTAGGACGGGCAGGTCAGGGATGACGAAAATTAACCGGTTAGGATTAATGAACAGGATCTTTTATTATAACACGTGTACACTCGAGAATGTTCGGAAGAAGAAGAAGCTAACGTACATACGTGGCAACGAACAAAAGTGAAGTGAAGTTTTTGGAACGCTGTAGAAGACAGCGTCATCTAAAGTAACTAGAGAAAAAGACGATAGCGCCACCACAATCCGGCAGCGCTACTGTTAGCCATTGGTAAAAGATTTATAGAGAGAAACGAGGGCGCGAATTGTTCAATCTCTAACACCCTCCCTCAAGTTGCGCCCGGGAATAATCGATGGGTTGAAGTCCCAGACCTGATATACATCTCGAATGTCTAACTCCAGATAAGGCTTTAGTGAGAATGTCGGCGATCATCTCCTCCGTAGGAAGATATACAAGCTTCAATGCGCGTTCATTTATCGCCTGACGAATGAAGTGGTGTCTGATATCTATGTGCTTGGACCTGGAATGAAACACAGGGTTTTCAGCCAACAGTCCAGCACTACGGTTGTCATTGTAGATTACAGCGTCCGCGAGATCCGCACATCCGAGTTCCTTGAGAAAGTTGGTGAGGTACATGGTCTCCTTGGTAGCGTCGGCTATAGCCATATATTCAGCCTCTGTGGATGATAGAGCAACCGTCCTCTGCTTGCGTGATTCCCACGTTATAGCGCCTCCGCTGAGTGTAAAAATGTAACCGGTGTAGGAACGTCTGTCAATGGAACAATTGCCCCAGTCGGCGTCCGCAAAGCCTCGCAACGGTTGATTATCCTTGTGAAAGACCAATTCGTAGTCGGAAGTCCTCTGAAGGTATCGGAGCACGCGTTTGGCAGCAGCCCAATGCTCGCTGTTGTGACATGAGTTGAACTGACTAAGAGCACTAACAGCGTGCGCGATGTCGGGGCGTGTTCCCACGGCAACATACATTAGTGCCCCGATTAGCTCTTGATACGGGTGATCTTCGGTGTTGTCCTTTCCAGCGTTTGTGCTCTTCGTCAGCTTGACGCCTAAGGCGATGGGAGTGTTGACGGGCTTACAATCGCCCATCCCAAAACGTTTGAGAACCTCTTTGACATAACCTCGTTGACCAAGATGAATGCTCTCCCCGTCGCGCCGAATCTCGATACCGAGACAGTATTTGGCGGTCCCAAGATCTTTAACCTTGAACAGTCTGGCGAGCTCTCTCTTGATTCGATTTTCCATATTTCGATCGTTGGAGACAATCAGGATGTCGTCAACATATACGAGTACAAAAGTAAGTTTTCCCTTGTCGACGTAAACACATGGGTCCGCGTTGGTAGGAGTCAACCCCATGCTGCAAAGTGCCCTGTCGAGCTCCGCGTACCATTGCCGTCCGGCCTGACGCAGGCCGTAGAGAGCCTTCTTTAACTTGCATACCCTATCCGGGCCTTTGATGTCCCTCAGCATGGCGTGAACTTGCTTCAGAATCTCAGGATCCTGTTCTTGATGAGCCATCCTCTCCAAAGTTGGCTGCAACAAATCCGGCAATTCCATGTATATATCGGTATCAATTTTTCCGTTTAAATACGCGGTCTCAATGTCTAGTTGGGAAACCGTCAAGTCGAATTTTGCAGCCAATGCCATCAGCAGTCGAAGCGAACCTAGGCGGGCGACCGGAGCGTAAGTCCCGAAAAAGTCGATGCCTGGGCGTTGAGCGTATCCCTTCGCGACCACGCGTGCTTTTCTTTGATTCAGGACTCCGTTGGCGTCGAATTTATTTCTCAAAACCGTGCGACATTTAATGACCTTCCCATTCTTAGGTCTCGACACGATATCGAAAGTATCGTTGAGGACTAAACTTCTGATTTCTGAATACACCGCGTCGAACCATTCATCCTTATTCGGTCCGGATATCGCCTCGCGAAAAGGGATTTCGCATGCATTGAATGCGAATTCGGCATCTTCCCACGTCTCATCTTCGCTTGACTCGACCTGATTTCCTGCTTCCCGTGGTTCGGCGACGGCAGACACCATGTTATATCCCTTGGCGGGTCGACCCGGTTTGCCCGTCAATATCTTGCGCGGTCTACCGGGACCACGTCGTAATTCATCGTCTGCTGGATCCGGTTCCTCTTGGTCAGCATCGTTCGCAGCGTTAATTGGCGGGTTCTCATCGTGACTGCTCCGATCTGGCTCCTCATCGTTCGGTAGAACCCCCGCGTCAGGGTGTGTGTTTCCGCCAATTTCAGTCTCACCGCTCGTCTCTGGGCTCTGCTGATTATCTGAAACAGAAAAAAGGTTGCCCGAGGATCCATGGACAGGATCTTGCTAGCCCTCCCTGGTCTGGAGCTCGTTGAAGAACTTGACATCTCGCGGCACATGAATCTTCATCTCAGACGGCACCCAAACGCGATAGGCCTTGGACGTTTCGGAATATCCGACGAGAGTTCCTTCAATTCCTCTTGGCGAAAACTTGCCCTTGTCAGGAGATTTGTCTAGGATGTACACCTTGACTCCAAATTTCTGCAGGTATTTAAGGCTAAGGCGCCTGCCTGTCCACACCTCGAAGGGTGTCTTCGTACCGAAAATTTTTGTCGGGCACCGATTTCTCACGTGATTGGCGGTTGCAACAGCTTCGGCCCAAAAAGATGTCGGGAGTCCGGATTCCGTCAACATGCAGCGAGCAGACTCGACGAGTGTCCTATTCTTCCGCTCGGCCACACCGTTTTGTGCGGGTGTATATGGAGTCGTTAACCGTCGTTGAATTCCAGCCTCCGCCAGTATTTTATCCATGGTTGCATTGCAAAATTCCTTCCCGTTATCTGACTGCAGTGCTTTGATTCTCTTACCGGTTTGCGTCTCTGCATAATTTTTATACTCCAGAAACTTGGGTGTCACCTCGGATTTGTTTTTCAGAAAATAAATCACGGTCCAGCGGCTATGGTCGTCGGTAAATGTGAGAAAATATCGGGCGCCGCCCCGCGAGTGTGTTCGCATGGGACCGCACAGATTCGTGTGCACTATTCCGAGCAAGTCAGGTGACCTTTTGTCACGTTTCGGAAAGGGTGGTCTCGTGAGTTTTCCAGTGGCGCAGACATCGCACGGAGGAAGCACGTCGTTGACCTTGAATGTTAAGCCGGATGCCATCTCGTTCCGTAGCATGAAAGACATGTCGTTCCAGTTCAAATGGCCAAGCCGGCGATGCCATTCGGTCGTGCTATTCGAGGCACTCGTAGCTATGCATGCCGTGTCATGTCCCTCACGTAAGAAAAACAGATCACCCTCACGATCAGCCACCATTTTCACAACACCGTTAGCGTCTTTCACGTATGCGTGTTTTTCAGTAAACAGGACTTTATGATTTTTATCGACTATTTTCGCGATCGATAAGAGGTT